CTGAGTGTCATCCAAGACTTGACATCATCAATGCACCCCTGCAAAGTCTGGACAGCGGAATCGACAAGAGATGGATGGGTGTGCTTGTATAGCTGTGTATCATCTGCAAATGACTGGTTCTCAACAGCATGCCTCCCGATCAAGAGGAGTAGTGGTCTGGTATACATTATGAATAGAACCGGACCCAAAACGGACCCCTGTGGCACTCCGTACACCAATTCAGCACTGCCTGAGAGACAGCCATCGACAGAGACCATTTGCGTTCTATCAGAGAGGTAGGACCTAAACCAAGCCAAAACCGAACCAGAAATTCCAAAGTAGTTTTCAAGGGTTTTGAAAAGGATTTCATGGTCAACAGTGTCAAAGGCCGCACTGAGGTCTAAGAGGATCAAAATGGAGACATTACCGCTGTCCATTGCGCGCAAGAGGTCATTACTGACTCTCAAGAGAGCTGTCTCCGTGCTATGGAAATGTCTATAGGCCGACTGATTAGAACTGAGAAGAGAGTGATCATTTAAGTAAGCAAAAAGTTGTTTTAGGACTAGTTTTTCAATAACTTTAGATAAAAATGATAAGTTAGATACAGGTCTATAGTTTTTTAAATTATTTTCATCCAGACCGGGCTTCTTAAGCAATGGTTTGATGACAGCTGATTTGCAAAGAGGCGGAACAGTGCCAGAATATAAGCTTTCATTTATTATGCGGGTTATTGTTGGGAGCAAGATATCTAATGACTCAACCAACAGGGGGGTTGGGATGGGATCCAAATAACATGACGTATGTTTAGATTTTAGGATTATATTTTTTACCTCAAGTTCTGAAACAGGTTTAAAAATATTAAAATGGGAAGTAAGACAAGGGAAAGGAGGCAATTCAAGGGGAGGGGCATCAAGACGATCAAGCTCAGCTCGAATGTCAGCTACTTTGCTTGTAAAGAAATTACAGAAAATATCTGGTTGCTTGGGCAGGGGAAACACCGAAGGAAGCGCAGTTCCTTTGTTACTCCCCCTAAGGTGACCACAAACATCAAACAACTGCCTGCTGGTTTTACCCATAGTTATCTTTTGGCTAAAATACGTAGTCTTTGCACGACAAACAATCTGATTGACACGCTTCTTGGCAGCGTAAAATATCTGCTTAAAAACCACAAGACCTGACCTTAACCACTTCTTTTCTGCACTACGGCGCTCTTTCTTGGCACTGCGTAGTTCCTCCTTGATGGTCGCATACCAGGGAGATGACCGCTTTAGACTAAAATTGCGGCGGGTGACAGGGGCGTGTCGGTCAAGCACAGCGCGCAATGCACGGTCTAGTGATTCCAATGTAGGGCAGAGGGCAGGGGACACTTCTACGCTTAGGTCATGCTTAAATGCATCCCTGTTTATAGCTCGCAGACTGCGCACCTCCCTAAACTGAGGGGGAGGGTTGGGGGCACTAACACTAAGTTCACAAATAACACAGAAGTGGTCAGAGGACAGCTCTTGTGTGATTGAAGTAGATCTAACTACACCATCTTGAGGCCTATGTAGTACCCAGTCAAGAATATGTCCACGATTATGAGTCGGTTGGTCGACCGATTGGTGAAGACTGAATAAATCCAAGAGATCCAACATCCTAGCAGTGGAGGGGTGCTGTGGTTGATCAAAATGGAAGTTCATGTCGCCTAGTACAATGTAAGTCCCGGTCAATGTGTTGCAGTGGTCAATCAAATCCGGGAATTCTCGATGAAACACTGAGTCGGTCAATTTATTTTTCTTACTAGGGAAGGTGCGATATATGCACATGAAATGAACTGTCTGCTGGGGCACTGACAGTGTAAATTGAACTACCTCAAAAGACGTGTGGACGAATGGGAGGTCTGTGACAAAAGCTGTATGATGGGACAACGTGTCTCTATATATAATAGCAAGGCCTCCGCCGCGAGTTGAACGGGGAAATGATCTGGCAGAATAGCCATAGGGAGCGAGATCCGTGCACTTCCCCTCGTCGCCAGTCAGCCGAAACCAGGTCTCCTGGATAAACAGAATGTCAATCTGCCTATCAGAGACAAATTCGGAGACTGCAATTCGTTTCTCATAGGGCCACACACATGTTTTAGGTGAGGGATACAAGCTTGTACCCGCCGAAATTACGTAAATGATAGGGGCCACTGCAGGTCATTGACACTTGATCAATAAAGTAGCTACATTCACCGTGAAATTTTTGTACGTCAGAAAAATTTTAACATTTTTGTCCTATTTTCGTTTCTCTTGGTAAATAGCTAAACCAGCACATTCTCTCCCTTTCCTTTCTCCATGTTAGCAGACCTGTTTTTGTACACAGCCCCACCTCGGCTACCATTAGAAACGTCATGGTGCAGATTCAGATAGAATAATTTAGATACTGCGGTGTTCCAGGTTTCCGGTTGACAAGTCTGTTGTGGCTTGCCGATTAGGAAGCGTCGGCCACCGCCCCCCCTCGGCGTTTGCGTGGAAACATAACTACTGGGCACGCCCCGCGTGGGCAGACAAAGGGTGTGCTCGGTACCTGCCGTACATAAAATAGCTCCCACAGGGCTGCCGGTTGTGATATTTCGCAGTCGGAAAGTTAGGCAGAGCCAGGGTAGGGATTATGATTACAAGTTGCCGTTGACGGGTATGAGGCCAGAGGCGAGGGTGGTAATCTCTGGCCGAGGATTCAAATCATGCAGCTGTTAGAACGCTGCCCCTAGGCAACCGTTTCATCCCAGCTACAGCGTGAACTAGTCGCGTTGTGGAAACCCACTGTGGAATCCCTCTTATAGGGCGTCCGACGCTTTCCCGGGATGGGTGGGGGAAGATATTAGGACGTAAATTTTTCCATCCCAACTCCTGAGAAAGTCGATCGAGTGCACT